CCTCCCTCATCTGTCAGCCTGCAGCAGCCTCTGCACCACTGGGGCCTGTATGTCCACACAGTAACACCACACTGAACATTACTTTTGGGTGTGATTTCCTCACAGATACTGCAGTGTATGGAGGTTGTTAGCTCCAGTCTCTATGTATCACATGAATGCATCTTCCCAGAGGATGATTCACCACAAATGAATTCTCAGCCAGTGGGAAACTCTGCTAAATGCATTGCATTTGGGAAATAAAAATGTATGGTACCACAACAAGTCTTTTGAAGCTGGTTAAATTTCAGCTTCAATTGGGTGTGTCAATTTTGATGACTGCCCAGAATTCCCCAGTGTATGCAAGCATACATTGAGTACAGTATACTAAAAGTTCAATAAAAAACAAACAGCTAGAAAACTATGAAATTAATTTGAACTAGCTTCTTCACTCATATGAATTTAAAAGGAAGTTGTATTATACTACAAAAGATAATTCCACCATGTGAGGCTGTGCTTCGAATGCTAACAGCAGCAGGCTCACAGTGACAATGCCTACATGCTGATGTTTAGTAGTTATAATGTTTACCATGTTATATGAGTTTAGTCATGTTTGCATGCTAACATGTATTATTGATGTATTATTCAAATTTTAGCACAGAATTATTTTGTATCATGATTTCCATCTCTTTCTAGCAGGTCTTTTATATGCTAACTGCTCATAAGAATGAACTTGCTATGTTTAACGTATGTTTACAATCTTGTTTAACATGCTATTTACTAGGCTGAAATTTTACAGGTTATGGGTTTTTCATTGACAACCACTGGACTATGAATCAATAATACGATCAATTTAGTTCCAATGACAGGCCCATATTGGCACCCACAGTACTTACAGGTACAGTTATTATCCTTCATCATGGTTTTTCCCAAACCCTCTAACAGACACGTTCTTCGTTTGATAGCAGTGCTGAGTAAAAATGACACAGCTGTCACCAAACCCCTCTAGACCTCAGAGAGAGATGAGTTTGTCATGGCTGTGTCAGATACAGGCCGCTTCAAGCTACGTTCTTTTAACCAGCATTTTCGCTGGAAGTCACTGAACTGATCTTCACCGGGGAGATCATGTTAGTGCAAGTCAGACATAGGAGTGTGTGCTGTGAGTCAGGGAGGTGCAGGGAGGAGAGCGCTGCTGGCAAAATTCAGAGGAAACAGGAGCTAGGTGAGGGAGTCGGATGACTGCTGAAGTGGAGAGCATGAAGACACGGTGGCTGAGCTGACGTGGCTCTGCAGACCACAGTATTAACATCCTGATGACTGCTTTCAGATGTCCTATTCAGCATCTTTTTGTTTTCCCCTTGCATGACCAGACCGATGGTGCACTCATTTTCCAAATATCGACAGAAACAATTTTAGCTGTGGAAAATACCGACCAAAATTATGTTGAGGATGGTGTCGTAACCACTGAAGGAAACGCTGATGGAAATTTAAAACGCTGGTCTCTTCGCTCCCCGTGCAGGAACTGATGGTGAAAAAGAAATACTAACGCAAATAAGCAAAGTGCTGCATTTGGATCGCTCGTGTAGGCATGTGGCATTTATTGTACCAATATAAAGTATCAGTTTAACTGGTATTTCGCACCACCACTGTACTAGTCAGCAATTCTTCACAAGCTGATGAAGTCTAAGTAACTGTGCAGAATACACAACTGTGTGCTCAGAATGTGCAAATTGTAAATTTGGTTGAATACAGAAGAGTATAAATGTCTATAAAACACCAAAAATGACTTTTCTTTTGTTTAAGGGACGACTTCTTCCAAAATCAGTTTTCACAATGGGATTTAATTCTGGAAACCTCTGATCAAATATGTAATACCATTTAGTTAGGCTTCTGATCATATGGAGATGTGCTCAGTAGTAGAGCCACACTAGTTTTATTGGTGGCCAGGCTGAGACCTGTATTCATGTTTAGACAGAAAAAAAAGTGTGCAGCGCTCAGGGCTTTGTAGTCACTATTTCTGGTCTTTTATTTACTCACTCACACAACAGCAACTGTTGGTTACAGTATCAGCTACTGCACCACCATGGTTGTCACCTTAAAGTCAGAAGGTCCAGATTTTAAATCCACCTGCTGGCTGAGACATTTCTCTTTGTATGTCCTCCCTATGTGTGGATGGGTTTCCTCTGGGGGCTTGAATCTTCTCCACAGTCCAAAGACATACGTTTTACATTAAGTGACCACTGTAAAGTGTGCGTATGGTGAGCGTGAATGGGTGTCTGTCTGAATGTGTTAGCCCTGTGATATATCCTTCCTCTCACCCAGTGTCAGCAGGGCTAGGCTCAACGCCTGCACAGGATAAAGGACACACTTTGTTTTGTGTTAATTAAATTGTAGCACTATATGCAGGCCAATAAATACATTTTCTTTCATATAACACCACTTGACAAACCACCTATTTCCCATCTTTGTTGCTCAGAACAGCTCACGATGTAATCAGATGGTTTGTTCCCAGGCTGTCAGTGTGTGTCTGCCCAAAATAAAAGGGCATCTGGCTTTGTTGTACATCACTGCAGCCTGTTGTGTAATGGAGAAGGTTCTGTCTTTACCTTGGGCCTCGTGTTCTCCGCTGACGACAGGCAGGGATCTTATCTGTGCCCGGGCCGGAAACCTTTCCCTCGTAACCGCGGTAGAACAATGGTGCTATATTGAGAAAGCAATAAACATGAGATTGCTTATCTGTTATCGAGCTCGTGGCACATGAAGGGGCTGAATTAGTTATGTGCATTATGTGCTTTGACATTTCAAACCAGGATGATAAGTGGATGTGATTGATAGTTCCATAGAGACCGAGTGTTTGTTGGGTCTGAGTTGTGTCATTAAGTGTATACAGATCAGTATGAGGATCAGCACTGTAGTAATATTCCTCCTGCTGCTTCACATTAGAGACACCTTCAACCAAAAACAACATTAGCAGGTTATTTTTATTTTTTATTCTTGATCAGCACAATCAATACATGGACAATTTTGCTTGGAATAATAGTGAATCATGGGAAGATTTTTGATTTTCTGTCAAACATATGCAAATTCTCTATTAGGGCTGCACAATTAATTTCAATATGACCAAGTGCAATATCCAAATCACAGAAGCTGCAGTTTTTGTACGGTAAAATGTGTGACAGCATTATAATAAAGACGTCACATCAAGATTGAATTGTTTTTTCAGTGAAAATGAAAATTATGATGGAAAATGATCATTCCCACTAATCATGAATCATATGGAACCAAACATTGTTCTTTAGCTGCTAAATGCTAAATGCCTCCTGCGGCTATAAACAAAGCTGATGAGCGTGGTGAGAGGAAACCAAACCATTAAGTTGTGGGGGAGCCGAAGGACACTAAAAACTCTCCGTAGAGAAGAGGGGAACTGCAGGGTTGGGTGGTCACATAATCCCTTGATCCATTGTCATAAAAATATGGATTAGTGCATCTTAAGAGTTCCAGGAGGATAAGCCTGACAGTGCTGAGACGATAGCAGTCAGATCACCATGCACCTGTAAACCTAAAATGAGTTCTAGGCTGTATTTACCATAGCTAAACAACATCTAACAAGTTGAATATCCTTTTACATAAAAGATTCAGTCTGTCATCATCACTTTGTTCACTGTGGGCTTAAATAACTACTGAAACAGCTTTTTTTAATAGTGTCTTATCTCCTTAATTGGATGTGTTTCCTGCAGAAGCAGGATGTCAGGGCGAGGCACATCAGATAGTTCAACTGTGTAAACCAATGGGATTTCATGTAGCGAGAATAGACAGACTTATTTGATGTTGGGGGTATTTTACTAATTAAAATTGAATTTACACTTCTGATGCAACCTTCTGCTTCCCAGAGAGGAAAACAAATATCTCGACCCTAACCCTTTTAAATGTAAACACAAATATGTGTGTGTACGTGCAAATTGTAAATATCTCATTATGGCACAAAGCCTAAACTTTTATGATATTTAAAGAACTTAAAGTTTAAGCCCTTCAAGTGTCATCCATGATCACTTTTACATAGCTACAAGGACCTCTGTGCCCTCATGCTTTGTTTTGTACGTGCCGCTGTGTTGACATGGTGAACACGCTGTTGTCTGAGTCAGCACAGTTTTGCTGGTTCCTGTTTGAGCACTTTACAGCGCTTTCACCCCGATGCTGTCAGAACAGCTCTGACACCTGTTCTTCACCTGACTTACCTCTCTGTGGGGTATTATGACAGTCCTCTGTGTCTCTGTCCAATGTGGATGCTATGAAGAGTCTCACGCTCACAGTTTCTGGGCTAAAGTTGCCCCAGCAACAGCCCATGATGCCCAGTATTGGCTTATATTATGCTATCACATTAACCATTCTTAGTTAGCTAGCTAGCTGGCTAACACATTGGGATCAGGGTTATTTTTTCAGGTTAGAGCAAAATCCCCTCACAACGTCTGTGTATGTCCTGATTCCACTGGTCAACTTAAAGGAATAGTTTGACATTTTGGAAGAATCCAAATATTTGTTTCCTTGAGCTGTTTGAGGAGATTGATACTACTTATTTCCACCAAGCCCCAAGCAAGTGCTTGGTAGGTGGGTTTTTAAAACTTAAGATGAAGCCAGGCTAGTTGGTAACCCCATTTTACATTTTGTATGCTAAGCTAAGCTAAGCTAGGCTAATGGCCTTCTGGTTTAGCTTCATATTTAGCGCACAAACATTAGAGTGGTATCAGTCTTAACATCTCTCAGCACGAAAGTCAATAAGCATATTTCCAAAATGTCAAACTATTCCTTTAATTAATTATGTGTAGTCACCAAATAATCAGCATGTGCCTTGCTAATACTTTAGCATACATACTATATTCTGAGTAATAGTGGGCCACATTTCTTTCAGTCTGAACGGAAATGAACCCATACACTTTGTTACCTCCTTTTAAGCTGTTCTTTTTGTAACTTCCGGTGCGTCCTGTGGTACAAAATGAAAACAAAATGATGTATGTGTTGTTTTCCAGGCTGTATGCTGTGTTTTGGCCAGTCAGCCTTCTTCCGCTTCAACCACCCTGAAGAAGCCTTCAGGATGAAGAGCATGGTACCCCAGGGAGGAAGTGTGTCCGCCAGAGACTACAGACTATGCCCAGGTACTGTATGCTCACATTACTACATTCAGTATACTGTATTTTTATCCTGTTTTCACTCAGCAGTGCTGCCTTAAACATCATGTCAGGCTTTGCTTCTTCCACAAACATGGGCCCAGAGTGAATAAAACACACTGACCTCTTGTCACATGAATAATAAGGCCTAAAAGGACTATTTCCCTGAAGTTCCAGTTTCAGCGTGGCCTGTGTGAATGAATGGGCCAGATTGTTGCAGAGCCCAACAGAGAGGTGGAGCAGCAGGGCAGTGTGTTTTACAGGTGGATATTTGCACAGCAGTAAACCCCCGGCATTTTCCCCTTTTTATAGCCTGGCAAGGGTGGAGGAAGTCTGCTGGGACAGAACAGTATATTCATTTGTTGATATACAATACTGGGCCAATATAGCTTTAATAATGATTGATTGAATGATGATTTTATTGATTATTTATAGTTTTTTCATACATTGGTTCTTGCTTTAAAGACAATACATTTCCAGTACCAGTGCTGTAAGAGCTGTAACCCCACCTAAAGAATGTACTGAGTTAGCTTCCATTACTTTTCCACTCGGATAAAAGAAATATTGCGTGGCAAATGGAAACATCTCATCATTTTTACAAACCCAACATTAGAATTTAACTACAGCAAACAAATGCATCCATTGTCTACTGTGCCTGTTTGCCGCTCTGTTACCAGACTGTTGTTGTCAGTATCAGCCTTTAAAATGCAGTACCCGATGAACCCCGGAGCTTGAATGGTGCCCAGCTGGGACCTGGTGCATGCTGGAGTTTGCACCATGCATGTTTTATGAGCATCTCATTCCTCTGCGTCTCCAGGCAGAGTTTTTTCAGCTGCTTTCTTCCCTGTGTGTGTGTGTGTGTGTGTGTGTGTGTGTGTGTGTGTGTGTGTGTGTGTGTGTGTGTGTGTGTGTGTGTGTGTGTGTGTGTGTGTGTGTGTGTGTTTTTTCCGAGTGCTCATCTTGGCAACTGCAAGTGCATGTGTACCTTTTCTTGTCTGGCTCTACTACCAGGGATCTGTCATAGCATCTTGTTATTTCCCTCCTTTCAGTGTTGACGCTGCCTGCCACTGGGGGATAAGTATAGCACACATGCATGCTGGCTGCCCTGGACTTCCTGATCCAGTAATGAAAGCCTTCCGTTGTTTAGAAACGTACAATTTTCCTCAATTATGCATTCCTGAGTTGCATTTAGATAAAACCTGCTTATACCACTCCCATGATAATCTGTCATATCTGCTTGGAAACTCAAATTAGACTTATCTGTGTAAAACTATCAGAGGCCAGAGCTATTACGGAGGGCAAACCCAGTGAAACACAGTTGACCTACTTTTTTGAAGAATATATCTTGGAAATAATACAATTATATAAATTTACATTCTACACATGCATCAGGGTAGAACCCTCTTGATATACCATATTTTGGTCAGTTTGTTCTGTAACGCGGTTAAACCTTACTTATTGCTCCTTAAAGACCTGGGCCAGGAGTTACAGAAAGAGGAGAATTCCATAAACATATTCCCATGACAGTTGTTCACTGGGCCAAAAATGGTAAAACTCTATGTGTTTTTCACCTTCTGCTGGATTTGGCATTTTTGGGCCCATAGAGCACTTGTTCCTAACCTGGGGGTCAGGACCCTCACTAGGGGTCGCCAAAGCTTCACAGGTGGATGCAAGGCCCTTTTGATTCTAAGGGGTGTAAGAAAACACAGTAGGCTTATATCTCAGAATTCCATTCATTTTTGTGAATAAATCTAAATGAAATTGCTGTTTTTAAAGTTTAGATTATATTTAAAATCTAAACTTCTAAGACCCGAACACAAACTACATTAACACAGCCTTCACTCTCTGGTGAACAGCCTCGTCCTGCACTAGGACAAAGCTCATAGAACAATGGCCAAGCAAAAAGGAAAAGAAAACACTTAATTTGTCAAAAAAGAGTTGCTTATTAAGAAAGTATGATTGTTGAAATTAAAAAAAATACATAACACAGACAGATAATTGTACAAAATGTTCATAAAAATATCAGGAAAACTCATGACTCGTTTTACACAAACTTGCTGCAGTTACTGTGTTCACTGTTTGGGTTCATTGTACAGTTTATCAGCTGTTCTCTGATGTTATTGTTATGCATTGAATATAATATGAAACATCCATAAATATGTCACTTTACTCAATGATGAAAATGAATGAAAGGGCTCCCTTAAGTAAGAAGGTTAGAAACCATTGCCATAGAGTATTCACACTAGAAACCTTCTCTGGCTGAGCCGACTGGCTGCACACACACATGAATGGAACAAAGATAAATTACTAATGCAGGTCTTCAAGTCTTTTTGATTTTTATTGGACATTAGAGCTTGTGTTGTTGGCCCAGCTCTGCTCTTTGTGCCTTGAGCATTACCCTATAAAAATAAAACTCAGTACTCAGTTCCTCCAACACAAATTCTTCCCCTCTGTAATTACAGTATTACCTTCACAAGTACCACAATGTACCAATAAGTCATGGTGTCATTATTAGGGAATGAGAAACTGTCCTCACAATCTGACATGACCTTGGCCTGGAGAGGATGTTCAAATGGAACGGACAGTGGAGGCAGACCAGTGCTTTAACAAAGACCTGATCCCTCACTGGCTTCCCTCCCTCCAACAAAACCATACAGTACATGTTCTATGCCAGGAATTAAAGCTGCATCTCTGCAGAGTGTTTTTCCTCTGCACATTGGACCCTCAGTCAGTGAGCTGCCTTCAATGACTTTAGTTGAAGTGGTGCAAATATGAACAATAAGTATGAGCATTTGTTGCATGGTTTTATTTTGCACCTTGCCTAAATAGAGAGCCTCTAATAAGAAATGATTACATTTTAATGAAATATAATATTAGACTTATTAAGCGTCATTAAAGGTCCAGTGTGTAACATTTAGAAAGCTCTAATGGAATAATATCAAACACATTCACTCTCACAAGTCCCATAATGTGCCTGCTCTGGTACATTTGTACAGAATGTACTTTGAGCGTACAGCGCTGCTGTTTCTTTGAGATCCCAGTCCCATTCACCTGTGTGTTTGTTGTTCTGGCGAGCTTTGCCAGGTCAGTGACAGTCCGCTGACCAGCTGTCTTCAGCCAGCCGTCTTTCAGCTACCAGCTCTTCACTGATTGGACGTTTCCTGTGCCTCTCTGCCAGGGCCAGCAGACTGCTTACTTAAAGTGGCCGACGGCTGGAGTTACAGTATCTTTTTCAGAGACTATTTATAAAGCTCCGGTTCCAGTCTACTGTCTGTCATCCCTGCAGCCTCCCTCCCTGGGTTTCCCCTCCGGTCCCGTCCTGCATCCAGCCACCGTCCTTCTGCGCTTTAGCCTCGCTTTCCAATAAAAGGCCTTTATCTTCCTGTGATTTGGCTGCTGTGTCTGTCCCTGGCTGCTTGACAGTCTGCAGAAAGCAGAGCTAAAGGCAGGCCTGAATGCCTGTGATGCAGCTGCTTGTTATTGTGGTTGCAGTATGGCACCACCACATGTTGAATCTCTGATGTTCCGATGGTTTTATTTCTTTTTATTATGCAATGAAAACAAATGTCCATCAATAAAATAGAACTGGAACATTTTTGGACAACAAAGAAGGAATGTTTTTGCCATTCTGCACATCTTTCCTGCCCCTAACTTTCCTTTTCCAAACCAGTTAAAACCCACATAAGGGAAAATCATTTTCTTCCTTTAATATTTCACCATATTGGATCAATGAGGACTCTGGTCTGTATTTTATCTGTAAAATTTCCGCCAGAAAGCATAACAAACAAACTTATTATTATTATTATTATTATTATTATTATTATTATTATTATTATTATCAATATGCAGAGTCAAATTTAAGTAGACATAAATAGAGGTTTTAAATAGTGGTCGAATCTAAATAAGCACATCTACTCAACTAATTTAATTTACTTTACTTGACTATTCCATTTCATGCTACTTTATACTTCTACCCAACACTACAGTTCAGAGGTAAATATTGTACTGTTTACTCCATATAAATACTTTAAATACGATGCAGTGCTACTGATTCAACTGCACAGTAAATAACAGTATATAAAATATTTCAAAATGAGCTCCAAGTTACTGCTTACACACACATAATAATCCAATAATGTATTATGGTATAACACTCACAGGGCTAACATTTGGCTTTATGAATACTTTTACTTTTGCTTCACTTTACTTTAGATACTTCTCAGTAGATTTAGCAAATTATACTTTTTTACTTGAGGTTTTTTATTTCAGGGTTAGTATTAGTATCAGTATATTTATATTGCAATTCATATTTTATATTGCATTATATTATATATACTTGATCTCTTGCAGACAAGTTCAAAGACGTTTATGTGAGTACAGTATGGTAGCAGCCTCAGTTGTCATTGTTTGTATGCATACTGACAGCTTGAAAATCAGAGTTTATTTAAAGGAATTAACTTCCATCAAATACTATGTTGTTGCTGACAGAACACTAGCTGCCTTCGGACCCTTCAATCATTTTCTCTTCTTGGAAGTTGTTCTTAATGTGTTGCTCTGGTGATCAGATCTTATTATAAAAAGCTACAGTTTGGGCCTGTCATTGCCACTGGATGACAGCAGTGTTTCTCATGCCAGTAAAATATCAGTATAGTGTCAGAAGGGTATTTTGTGAGCGCTTTCTCCACTGTCTCATCTAATAGTGACAAAATCAGTAACAGTGACAGGCCATAAAATCCACTGTTGTGACTCTTTAAAACAGCGCTGTAAATCTCGCAGTAGTTCACACATCACACTGGACAGGAAGAGATGCGTCAAGCTAGCCACCACACGGGAAATAAAACGATTTTACCTTCAAAATAAAATACATTCCTCATTTGAGGAGATTGGCGTTGTTCTTCAGCTCAATCTGGTTTCATGTTTGAATTGATAGAATTGATTGAAATGTATAGTTCAAAAGTGAGTATCTTCTTCACTAGGATCAATGTTAGTAGGCATACACTGTCACGACTGGCATACATTATATAAGTCTGCCACGCTGAGATGGACATTACTATATCCACCATGTAATACTGTTCACTTCATTTAGTGATGACAGCACGTTTACAAAGCGTTTTCAACGTGGACTTTAAGCAAGTTATGGTTTTATTTTGAAGTCGTGACCGGAAAAGCGGTGTCACGTTGTAAGTAACTTGACACCAGTGGTACCGTAGGCAGCAGCGGTGCCTAGCACCCCAACCCCCGGCTGAAATATCACCTCGGTGGTGAATCTCTGGAGCCAGGCACGGCAGGGTTCCGTCACAGCCGGTCTGTCACCGGTGTCCAGAGGATGTGGGCCTCAGTCATATAGCAGGTGAACCGCACTGAAACTGACCGGGTCGCAGTTTTATTCCTTCATGTAAGTAACCCTACTGCTTAATGCCTGGGCTTTGGGCAAGAGAAGTGATACGAACCGGTCACACGCCAAACTCCATTAAAAAATCTGTCGGTTTAATGTTTATCTGCTCTTGTGGGAAGGTGCACACAGCGTAGGACATCATTACATACTTACATCACATATAACGCGATTCAGTGGGATTTCATCCATGTTATTCAGCATACAGGTGGTCAATAAATATGTCCTTTATTCGGAAAAAAATCTCGTTCTCTGCCTTGGTCACAATATCCTAATGTGTTCTGGTGAGGGGAATAGCAGATGGTCCAAACGTGTGTTTAAGCAACTATTGCTTATCGGCCATGGAATTGATGCCGAATTGTAGTGGTCTTCACAAATAATATAACGTCTTAACTCGTGTTATATTAAACGCGCGTTTTTCCTGCAGGTAAGCTAAACATTAAATTGCCAGATTTTCAAATGAAGTTTGGCATGGGGTTCTCGAGGCGATAGTGTATCCCATGACATCATTGCATGGGCTTTCTCTCAGCAAACGGTCGCTTTTATTTTTGTCACCCCCCCCTCCTTTCTGACGATTCAGAAGAATCAAGCCGGGTTGTTGTCTGTGTGACATTGACGTTCAAGCGGTGCTCAGCCGATAAGATGCATCAGTGTGGCAGCCTGCACACCTCAGTGGTGTACAAAATGCATCAACATGTTTTCCAGATGTAATAGTGGCCAGGCTGTCATGAAGGCAGAGCTACCCTGTATAGCAGAGTCATTATAGGGGAGAAGACAGGAAGCTGCTCCCACCTCTGTTGAACAAGCCCAGCTAATGCATTATTTGTGAAGCTTCTATATTTTAAAGCAGTTTTGCTATTGGGACATCTTTCTCTGACATCATCTTTAGAAAGAGACAACATGGACTTTTCTCTTTCATCCTATTCCATACATCTGTGTGTGTGTGTGTGTGTGTGTGTGTGTGTGTGTTTTTTGTGCGTGTGCGCGTGTGTTATCATTTGCTCTACCCCACAGTTTTAAATGATTTCTAATGTTATTACATCACTATTGAACATGACAGCTCTATTCTTCTCTTGTCTTCTATTACCTCTCAGTGTCTGCACTGATGACTCCACGCTCCGATTATCTTCATGTTTCCATTTAAACAGACAACAAGTCCATAAAACAGATTCCATTTAGCATTAATAAAACCTGATCTGTGCTCTGATCCCTGCCTCAAGGCCATGCTGGTGAATCTCCCACGTGGCCGTGCGTTTCTGTTGTAATAATCTACTATGCTGACATTAGAGAGAGACGGTTAAGATTAGATTACCCGGCCTGTGTCCTACGTTGCTTTTGGGCCACACAGTAATTGGGTTATGTAGGCACATTTTCTCCTGATCCCTATCCAATGCACAGGCCTGTGGGTCTGTTCATCTCCTTGACTGTGTCCTTCCTTCTTTCCTCACCACTAATCCCTCCTCCGCCCTCATGCTTACCTGTCTTTCACAGTTTCTACACAGGGCTGGAAAACATGGACATGATGATGATTTTGAACATATCTCAAATAGTAAGAGCAGAGAATTTAAGGACATTTTGGTAAAGGTCAGGGACTTTTGCAATGTTTATTTTTTGTTTAAATATTCTTACAAATGCATGAGACTGACTGGATGGGAACCCAGGCTGTTAACCTCTTTAGATATTTTCTGCACAGAAACACACAAGCAGGAAGGAATGAATATTTTGCAGTCATGGAAGCGCCCCAAATTAGTTCTGGAAAAACTAATAAAGGCTTGGGTGGAAGCCCTGTAAGGAAAGACACATGCAAATATAGAAAAGTTCTGAAAATGTGTGGAATTTCACTGCACTGTATAGCTTGTTTTATCAGCTTGTTGACTACCGCTATCGCTCAGGGAAAGACAGGTAAGGTGAGGTCATTCAGCAGATTTGCATTAGACCGTAAAGTTGATGGATAATCAATTTATAAAGCAGGATTACACTCTCGGAGTAAGAGTCTTTGATAGTACTTGTGTTAAGAGCTCAGGTCAGTCGTAAAGTGAACTGTGAAGAAGGTATTTTTTCTGATGCAGGGCAAAGAATGGGGGTGTGGTGCTTCAGGTGCTTGAGTTTTAGGCTTATCAGACACCCAATAGGCTAAATGTTTTGGGGCTTTTATTGCCTTTATTATAGTGACAGTTGAAGACAGACAGGAAAGGGGGGCAGAGAGTGGGGATGACACGCAGCAAAGGGCCGCAGGTCTGATTCGAACCCTGGGCCTTGGTACATGGGTCGCCAGCTCTACCCACTGAGCTAACCGGGCACCCGAGGCTACATTTTTTGACACATGCCTAATTTTGCACTGAACGCAGCCTACAAACTCTGTGCCACGTTTGATGAGCTGAATGACTCGTCAAGAAGTTTGTTTGAGTTCTTCTTTCTGTTTTGTACCCATTGTGTTTTTGGTTTTATAAGACCTAGCCTGATTGTTTCCTGTCTTCTTTCCCTCAGACACAGAGAGCTTGGTCAATGGGAATCATCAGGCCGGTCCAGCCCAGTCTCCCCCAGCTCCTGGAGAGAGAGTCCAGTCTGAGCACAGTGCAATCGTCAGCTCTATTGAGAAGGACCTCCAGGACATCATGGACTCTCTAGTCATGGATGACCCCCAGCCTTCTTCCTCGGAGGGCAAAAAGCCACCTGAAGGCCAACCCATTCCGCACTCCCCTCTTTCACCCATGGTCAATGGAGGGGGCCGGTATCTGCTGTCCCCTCCTACCAGCCCAGGGGCCATGTCCGTGGGGTCCAGCTACGAGAATACATCCCCTCCCTTCTCTCCCCTCTCCTCTCCCTCAGCGGCCAGCAGTGGGAGCTTTACCAGCCCTTCTCCTAGTGGAGGACCCCAGGACCAGAGTTCTTCTCTGCCACCAGTGCCTGTACGCTCCTCTAGCTACAACTTCACCACCCAGCCTCCACCTGTACCCCAGCCACGGACCATACTGCCTAACTTTAGCAGCGGTGGGGTGGGCCAGAAGGTTCATGAAAGCCCCAGGCTGCAGAGGAAGGTCTTAATAGAGGCTCCTCCAAGCCCCAAGCCAAGCCGCAGAGGCCTAGGCCAAGATGGCTCTGAGAGCCCCCGACAGACCCCTCTTCTGTCCTCTACGGAATCTCTCAGTAGTAGAAACATTGTGCCAAGTAGCCCCAGACTCACTCCCAAATTCCCTACCTGTCCATCCCCGTCGCCCTCGAGTCCCAGGACCAAGACAACCACAGTGCTCCAGGAAAGGCCTGCCAGCCCTTTCAGAGAGCAGACCAGTCTAGCTGATTGCTCCCTAACCTCCAGCCCATCCAGGCAGCTTTCCCAACCCACCAGAGCCTTCCAGCCTCCCTTGGATCCAATCGTCCACATCATCCAAGGATCGCCGCTCCAGCAGCATCCACGTTCTCTGCAGCCCCCTGAAAGTCCTCGCATGGCCAGGAGAAACATGGAGCTGAACGGCAGTGGCAGTGGAGGGAGCGGTAGTATGAGAGAGCTTCCACCACTTAGCCCCTCAATGGCTCGGAGAGGGGTCCCGGTACTCCCTGGGGCACTCCCAGGTACAGTCCCCACCTTGAGGACTCCAGATAGCCCCTCAGGCCTCAGCAAATTTGTCCCAGAGAGTCCCAGGCTCAGACGCAAGTCTGGATCTACATCTGAGGAGCATTGCAGCAGGGGGATCCGAGCCCGCAGCCCGTCGCCTACCTCTATGATGATGGAGGGTGGTGGTGGTGCAGGAGTACGGAAGGCGAGCTTTGGGAATTCCCTGTCACCTGCTTACAGTCTGGGCTCCCTGCCTGGCTCGTCCCCTGTTGCCAGCCCCAGGACCCATAGGAAGATGTCTGCAGGGAGACCCCACCCTGGGATGAGGGAAAGGAAGAACAGCATCACAGAGATCAGTGACAACGAGGACGAGCTGCTGGAGTACCACCGACGACAGAGAGAGGAGAGGCTTCGAGAGCAAGAAATGGAGAGACTGGTGAGTCAGGAACATGTACCAAAGACAGTTTACATTTAAAAAGAACACATTTCATTCATGTACTTGTTACAACATTTTGACTTAAAGGTTAAATCAGATTTACTTGATACTTCACAGGGTTTGTTTTGTTTGTTTTTTACTCACAGCTTTAGCCATCAGGTACAAAAAAAACACTCAATTGGTAAACGGACACTTTCATCAGAGTCCTGATCAGAATTCCTGGCAGGAATGAGTATTCTGAAAATGTTTTTATTTAGAAATATCTTGGTGTTTTGAGGCACACTGGTACTGATGAGCCTTGGATTATGCTGTGCAAGTGGTTTGATAAGTTTCTGCAGATTGTTTCTTGTTAAAATTAGTCTGTTGAAACAAGTTTAATGGAGATTTTTGCAAAAGTAAGCATAGATAGCATTTTATGTATTGTTTGACAAAGAAAAGCCAGTGTGATGTAATAGGTTTTTACTGAGGATCTTCAGACAGGTCATAAACTTGCCTCCAGCACCTTCTAACCCATCTAAAATAATTTTATTAGTATGATTATCACTAGCAGACCTCTAGTTTGCAAATAAATGTTGTAAATATTCCTGCAGAGTCTAACTTCTATCTGTATGACCTCCTGGAGGAGAGGAGTGTAACAATGGCAGTATCTCCATGTTTGTTTGGAAAAGAAGGAGTAACCAGGCTCGTAAACCATCTCAGTGAACTGGCTGTAACTTGGCTGTCTGCTGTCTAAACTGCCGCTGACATGCGGTCTCAGGGCGGCGAGATGAGCCCATAGCAACCGCATTGTTTGTTGTTTCCTAAACTGAACGGGGGGGGGGTGGAGTGAGCAGCGTTAGCCATCTTGAACTTGTCTGCCAGTCTGAATGAAACTACTGAGACAAAGTCCTTTAAAAAGCCTTTATATGTGTTTGTGCCTGTGTGAGAAGACGATTGTCTGCCCTGCTTGTAATTACAACATGGGTGTTTTTCAAAGTGTGAGACTGAGTGAAGGCAGCTCAGCTGGACGACATGCCCTCTGTCTCTGTGGACCAGGTCGTGTTCTGGTACCTCCTACAGAGACACAGCAAGTAAAACAGTGTGTCGGCAGCGCCGTATCCATACACTGACACTGTGTTTAACAGTGGGCTGTGCTTAATGCTACAAGGAGAAAGAGAGAGACCCACTTAATCAGAATCAGAATTGGTTTTATTTTAAGTAGGCTTTGACATACAAGGAATTTACCTTTGTAAATTGGTGCATAACAATAAATATAGTATGAGAAATATCTGATTAATGGTATCAACAGGAACATTTTGTTTCCTCAGACAAAAGGTGTCTTAGGAGGTCTGGCTCTCACCACAGATACAGAGAGCCAGTGTAACCAGTCCTGTGTTGCTGTCTGTTGTTATGGTCAGGGCTCAGGTTAGGTTATGGTTAGGCATTGCAGAGATAGCCTGGAGCTAGGGTTAGGTTCAGTCTCATATTGTTACTCACGCAAACTCTGTCAAAATGTTCATTTTTACCACTTTAATGCATCTTTAGGAATATTTTTGTTATCCAGCAGTCTGCTGCCTGCCCAGAATGGAAACAAGTTTGCCTGGAAATATCGGGAAAACATGTTTACTGTTCTAGGCATATAGTAGACATCACAAAAATATATACGCTATGAAGATGCAACCTTTTTGAATTTTCCCCAAAGAATTGAGTGAGTATACAGACATGGGACTAGGTTAAGCGTTATGGTAGGGGTCAGGTTAAAAGTAAGGGGAAAAACAAGTCAACATGGAAACAGACTTTGACGTACATACAGTATGACATCTGAATTTCAGGTTTAGATGTAAGAAAACATTCAGAATCACACTGACATTTCTAATAGAGCAAAAAAATCCAGTTCTACAGCTCTAGTCTTTGACTGCTTCCCACAAACCCAAGACCAGCACGAGTTAAACTTCAGGTTGACGGACTACAAGGCCAGTCAAAAGGAGGCCCAACTGCACGCACATTTTATAAACAGGAAACATGGCAACAGAAAAGCTGTAAAGATAACATTAGAAGTGAGTGTTAATATGTGATATACACACGGCCACGCATTTCATGGGAGCTGTAGTTTTTTTTCTATATTAAATAAGTGATGTTTTGCTTAAAGATCCAGTGTGTAGGATTAAATGGCATCTAGCGGTGTACTTCACCTCGCTTCACCCTTCCTTTCCAAACGCGAGAGACACTAAGGTGGCTGTGAAACATGCAAAAAAATGGCCCTACCTACAACCAGTATCTGGTTTATCCATTTTGAAGTGTCTAAAGCGTATAAAAACAGCTTATGCTAAGCTAACAAAAACACAACAACTCTTATTTCAGGTGATTATCCACTAATTAAAACATACCTATGAATATTATATTCCATTTCTGACAATAGATCCTCCTAAATGTTACACACTGCGCCTTTTAACAAAAATAAGTTTAACAACAAATGCTGAAGCAGATAGACGTTTATCTTAAAATCTAAAAAGTACACACCTGAAACACGTTTCATTGTTCCGGATGAGGAAGTAAAGTAACCCTTGAGCTAGACAAACTAGCAGAACAGAGGCTAGCCTGTGACCACGGGACTTCAGCTCTCCATCTTAAAACAATCTGTAAAACTTCTACTTTTATTTTCTTTGCACATTTAATTAATCCAGATGTTCAATGTTAAGTTTGGTAGTTAACTGATCATATAAGGGCAGCAGCTTATTCAAGAGTTCCCCAGCAAGTCCAGCTATCCTAAATGAATGTTAGTTTTTCACTCATACACCAATAGCATTTGTAGGAGAAACACTAAGTTGTAATTTCTTCTTGATGTATAGTACATATAGTACAGGCGGTTTGCACCTCTACTGCCCATACTGGCCTCCCCATACCCCGATCAGTCAAACCCTAAATCCTTTGTTGTTGTCAAAAGCAGTCATTAGCCACAGCAACCTTTGGACTAGCACAACTTACAGGCACTTAAAGAACAATATTGACAGTAGATATGTGCAAATAGCTGCCGGCCCTCCAGGTCAAGAACACATTTATTTCGAGTAAACACCGCGCACAGGGGCGAGCGAGGGCTGCCTGAGACGCAGAGGCAGGATTCCTCAGCAGCCTGTTATGTTGTCGTATTTTTCGAAGGCAGAAACTCGCAGCTCTTGGAGGAGGCAGGGCGTGGAGCTGCAGGGCCTGTAATTAGTCACAGTTGACTCACTGTCATGACAGATTTTTCTTGCCCCAGAGCGTGTGCATTAAAAGCATTTCACACACAGCCTGCTACTCATTCACACAACTGATTACCAAAAAACAAAGTTATGTGAACAGCGAGTCTCGGAGAAGTTTACTTAGGGAAAAAGAGTCTTATTGTGAAATCAACAGGAGTACACAGCTCAGAGGCAGCGGGAGGCTGCTGGGAGACTGCAGCTACACTCACACACTCATTTACTGATCTAGTGATGCGTATCAGGCTGATATTGAACTTTGAATGGGGTTTGGCCTGTTGGTGTTGTTGAAATGTAGTTGAGTTACATAATTGATTAATACCGCATTGGTTATTGGTTGCCCACTGGTGGCATTCAGGCTCTCTCAGCCTAATTAGTGGAGAGTTTTTGGACATACAATTTCAAGATATTGAATATTAGAAATCAAATGGATATCTGTCTCAGTCTCATTATATTGGGTTGACACCCCATGTAGGTCAAACCCTAAGTCTATTTACATTAGTTCAAACTAATTATTAAAGTCTTGAAAGAGTGAGTGGTTTGATAAAAACATTCAAGGTCCATTTACTGGCTTTAGCCCAGAGCTTTCATCCACATATCACAGTCTCACATATGGAACACTGCTCACATGATAACAGGTGGTTGTATATACAGTAGGGAGGAGATTGTGAGCAATGTCTCTGTTCAAGGATGGACTTGAACGCTCAGTTGCATCCCATGGTCTTCATCACATCTAAGTGGACCTTTGCCCGGTATCAATGTTTGGGCGTTACAAATATCTGATAACGATGTATCGGCCGATAGTAATTTCCAAAAATGTTTGTAACATATAACATAACAAACAATCTTGATACAGATCCCTTGGAATTGTGTTTTGTTATTGTAAAGATACATACTAAGCAGGACATTTGTAGATTTCGGTGTTTTTGGAGCTTAACCCATGGGAGGGGCTAAAAGTCAGGATCACCACCACGACTATTATTGAGCTCTTTAAGGTCTGGAGGGGATTGTCTTTGAAAATGAAAATGATTGTTGTTGCCTAAGCATATCCAAGTGCTCCTGTGGACATCATGTTAAGGGACGGCTGTAAAACGGACAAATAAAAGCGAGCGAGTTCAAATCTATGCAGATCTCCCAGTAAAGGTGCGCAGTGTGAGTGCACAGGAAGGTTGGAAGAGTCAGTAGGAGTGAGTGAGTGACAGGAGGCATTAATGTAATTAAAAGTGTTTTTAAGGTCTGTGTAACTATGATTTCACAGATAAAAACAATGCTCGCTGTTAAAGAAACTTTTTATTTAGTTAAGCAGAAGACTGGAGTGCATATGAAGGGAGTCAGTGAGCGCTCAGTTTCCATGGCAACCAGCACGCCAGAGTCCAATAACTGATTTGGGCTTTCAACCCAAAAACAGAGTATGATCCCTCTGTTACTGTCACATCACATTTTCAGTAATCTAATAATACTGTAACCCTGGTTCTATTGTAGAAGGCTAAACATTTATTATCCAATTTAATATACTTTATGTTCTTAATGCATTTATTATAATTTACTGTGATATATTTACCCAGTGTTCGACTTTATTATTTGCTATGTGAAATCATCTGAGGGAAGAAAAATTCACCTCTGCCCAAAGACTTGATGCAGAGGCCGAGGTTTGATGGTCCACAGAATCCACTGATTAAATAGGAATTAAGAGGAGAGGGAGGCTGCTACTGTGGACTGCAGGAAGTTGGAATAAAATCTCTCTTCTGTCTGTTCTGTAATGGACAAACCAGTTTTCACCTCAAG